TAAGAAAGATATGTGTAAAATATTTGTATTGAACTTGAAGTATTGAGATTTATAATTCAATGAACATTCTCTACAAATGAAGGTGAAACTATAACCACATGATCCATTTATGTAAAACACCTTTTTAATTATGAAATGTACTCTCAACCTTTAAGATGGTCTGAGTAATTAGCAGCATATGAAACATTCATAAAGGGCTTGGATGGCACATACAAAAACAAGTTTCAATTAATAGCTAATGAGAAACCACACTGAAGCTAGCAAAAAAAAAATTGGAATTCTGCTTTTTTAAGACAAATGCTATTCAATTATTTTCAAGAACAATCAAACATAATTGCTTATTTTATACATTTAAAACACAGAGATAAATGGGTGTCACTTCAGTGCCAGGCAGTGTTCTAAGGCACTGACAAATGCTAACACACACTTGGCTCTTGTGTGGCCCTTTCCAGGAGGATTGAAGCATTCTTGGCTGGTGGGGAGATGCAGAAGCTTGTGAAGTTAAAAATCTCAAGGACCCTCCCAACAGTTATGTAAGCAGTAAGCAACCCCTAGAAAGAGCAAACTCTGATAAAGCTGCTTACAGTCCATGCATAAAGTACTGCAACTTGAGCTAACTTGCAGCCATGTTGGGGTGGCAGGCGGGCTTTACATTGAGTCAGCTTCCGGAGTCACCCATGTTCCTGTAAGTAACCCCTCACCTTTGCCCCTGTATGTTACCTCAGTAAAAGTATCGGCACACTAAACAAGATTTGGATGGAATCAATTCTTTTGCTCTCTCATTAATGATCTGGATGACCCGAAGAAAGATCATCAGTTTCTTGACAAACATTTAGACAGTGGATTCTCTGTCTCTCAAATCTATAGTGATGAGAGCATGATAAACTACAATATAGACAGAGAAAACAGCAGGGGGAGAATTATGTAAAAGGAACCAAGGTGAAGAGAGAAAAGGAGATGCCTTAGAAATACCCATTAGTTATAGAACAATTGTAATGGGTAAAATTATGCCTCTGTTCCATTTGGAATTCAAACCTTTCTTCTAGAGTAATGATTTTTAACCACAAGGGAGCTTATTACTATAATAACATCAATCAATCAAGTTTGTCACAGTAAAATATAACTCTCTGTTCAACCTTCTAACACTGGCCTTATATGAAATTGCATCATTTTGGAGAGAGGAAAGTAATTTGCTATTTTTCTACAAATATTATGTAGGTGACATTCAAAATTGGTGAAAATAGAAAAGAGGAAATTGTATGTTCCTATGTGCTATGTGGTATATTGGAAAAGATCAAAAAATAGACTATAATAACCTAAAAGAAAAATAGGTGCTAAATATTTACCTGATGTTGGTTTAAGATCATTTTCTTAAAACCCAAGAAGTTACAATGCTAATGTTTTCCAACGCTCATACATAAGACAGAGGAACACAGCAGAATTTATGGTGTTTAGTTATAAAGGAAGTATGACATAAAATGATTTTAGGGAGAGGTTTTGTAAATCAAACAGAATTCTCAAGGAATTATTTCATTATTATTCCCCAAATGTCTCAGAAACACAGCATAACTTTTTCATGGTTAAACAACAAGAACGTAACAGAGACAAAATTCAATTCATGTTCATATGTTTCCCAATATATTTATAAACTCATGGTGGACAGGCATGAGCAAAACAGGAAAAAGTAAGACAACTTAGAGGCTAGTGAAGTCGAGGAGAGAGGTGGCTTAGTGGTTAAGAGCACTGACCTATGTTCCAGAGGAACCGGGTTCAATTCCCAGGCCATCTGGTGTCAGATCTCGACAAGATAAATTAAAAAAAATAAAAAATAAAAAAAAAGGGAAGAAGAAAGTAGTGAAGTCTTTTCACACATAACTACAAAAGAAAACAAAATTAAGTGGGGTTTAAGGGGAAAATTAAGTAGGGTTTAAGGGGGTTAACAGCAATGTGATCAAAGTCAGAATAATGAAAGAAAAAGAATAAGCATTGTATTGGAAAATAACACATGAAATGGGAAAACATGTGAATGAATCTTATAACATGCTACATAACTCTCCAGGAAGCTTGGGTTTAGTGGAGGACCATGGAATGATGATGCAGGGACTCAATAGAAACTGGAAAATATAGAGAAAAGCCTAGTGAGATCTCCTAAAGGAAGCTTGAACGTTAGGCAGAGAATTTTAGCTTGATGGTGAATTCCACTTTAAAATATTTAGCTTTTTATGGGATGAGTGTTTTGTCTGCATGTATATATGTGTACTACATGAGTGTCTGAAGCCTGCTGAAGGAAGAGGGTGTCAGATCCCTGTGAACTAGAACTGTGAGCTACCATGTGTCCTGGGAACTGAACCTAGGTCTCCTGCTAGAGCATCTCTCTGGCAACTAAGGGAATTCCATTTGTTCATTTAAAATATCTGAAGTATTATGGCATGCAACATGCTTTGCCACACATAGGATAGTTGGATATATAGCTTACGAAAAAAGGATATAATGAGTCAAAAAAAAAAAAAAAAGAAACATAACATCGTATGCAAAAGAAAAGAGAAAATATGTTTGACAAAGTTTTATTTCTACTTCCAAAACAGAAAATCTACCTTTCCGCTAAAAGCCATTGTTGTAAGAGATAAGTTCAGTATGGAAATTGGTTTACTATTGCGTTACAAAAAAGACAACTCCAAATCCATACTGGAGCAAAGAAGCCAAATGGCTAACTAAGAAAGAGGCAAAATATTTAGCTCCCAGTGAGACAGGGAAGTGTTTGCATCTAGAGATTGCCTTCAGTCAAAAGAAACAAGTTTTAGATAACTTGTTCAAGAGGAACTTTGATTAAGTAATTGTATTAATTCAAAATCACTGAAGGCAACAATGCTTCTGATGCCATTTCAGTTCAATAGTTCAGCAAAGCAGCAAAACTATTTAAACGATATTAGAAATAAATTTGTCTATCACTTTGTTGGGCCAGATCTTCAGAGAACATCTAAATGTGACAAAGAGTCAGGAGGAAGGTGGAACTATCTGGGTAAGCCACTGGGTCATGATGACATTGTGACCTTGGATGAAAGAGGAAAGAAATAAAAATGGGCTGAAAATGGTCTCGATACGCAAGCATTGTAAAGAAACAAAATAAAGGTGTTGGAGTTCCAAAGCCAAGAAAGCCATAAAACGCATCATGTAACTCCAATGGGCATGCTTCACGATGCCAAAAACCTTTAGTCATTGGCTACACACAGCCCATGGGGATCTAGGGATATAGCTTCAAACTTGTTCTAGGTCTTATGTGAAATATGAGAAGACTTTCTTGGAATTTTTTTTTAATTTTAAAATTTTTAATGAATTTAATGCTTTGTACACTGAACACTGTAAAACACTGAGAGAGGCCTGTGAGATGATTCAGGAGGTAAAAGTCCTTGCCTCTGAATTTGATCCCAGAACCCACAAATTAGAGGGTAAAAAATGACTCCTGTAAGTTGTTCTCTGATGCCTACATTTGTGCTATGGCACACTCAGGCCTGCACACACACACACACACACACACACACACACACACACACACAGATAGAGAGAGAGAGATTAATAAAATAAGGAAATAGTAAATTTCAAAATGGTACAAAGAAATTAAAATAATAACTGTTAAAGGCACTAAAGTGATTAGGTAAATTATTACACCACAATCAATAATTAACAGTAACAATCATATGACTTTTGAAATGCTCTAAGAATGGAGCGTCTTAGATATTCTGACCACATTGACTAAATTCTTTATTGTGAATTTTTTGTTTTGTTTTGTTTTTGTTTTTCGAGGCAGGGTTTCTCTGTGTAGCTTTGCGCATTTCCTGGAACTCACTCTGTAGCCCAGGCTGGCCTTGAACTCACAAAGATCCGCCTGCCTCTGCCTCCCGAGTGCTGGGATTAAAGGCGTGCGCCACCACCGCCTGGCTTCTATTGTGAATTTAAACCAGTGTGTTTTAAGTTGTTTTACTCTCAGGCAAACCTTACTGTGGCCCTCATCACTACATGTGGATTTCTGTGTTACTAACCAGGCCCGTGAATCCACACGGCAGCGAGGGAGCCTGAGAGGCGGGCAGCTTTGCTTGCCAAGCTGCCAGGATGCAGTGGCTTGTTTTCAGAGCCATCTCATTCTCCTAAAGGTGAATTCTCAGGTAACATATGAGGCTGAGAGGTTTCTGGATATATATACCTATAGACTCCAACATACTAAGTACACATATTGAGAACTAAATCTTTGTTTTGAGATGGCCTCTCTATGTAGCCATAGATGTCCTGGTACTCACTATGTAGACCAGGCTAGACTCATAGAGATTGACCGGCTTCTGCCTCCCTAGTACTGGGATTAAAGGCGTGCACCACCATGCCCAGCCAACAGCTAAATCTCCCCCCCCCCCCGCCCCCGCCCCTTTGTAATTTTTGTTTATTCAAGAATGTTAACAATATTATGAAGAATTATGCAGGATGGAGAGCCTTCTCAGCTGCTCTTGCAGAGGACCTGGATTCTGTTCACACCTTACAATCCTCTGTAACTCTAGTTCAAGAGAATAATCTCTTCTGGCCTCCTAAGGCCCCAGGCATACACGTGGTACACATATATGTGCAGACAAAATACACACATAAAATTTTAAAAAATATAAATAAAAATCGATATCCTAAAACTCATGCAGAAATATGAGTTTAAAATGAAAATACTGCCGGGCGTTGGTGGCGCACGCCTTTAATCCCAGCACTCCGGAGGCAGAGCCAGGCGGATCTCTGTGAGTTCGAGGCCAGCCTGGGCTACCAAGTGAGCTCCAGGAAAGGCACAAAGCTACACAGAGAAACCCTGTCTCAAAAACCAAAAAAAAAAAAATAAATAAATAAATAAAATGAAAATACTATCATTCACTTGGCAGCCATTCCCCAATAATATTCCCAGTGGGCCTGTTTGGAAGTTTCTTCCTTCAAGCATTACCTACTGCTGGTGATGGGGGATGGAGATGTGGTCTAGTCACTGAGCTTGCTCAGGCTGTACAGGAGCTAGATTGGAATGATACAGGAACATGAGCATGGTTCCTGTGCAAGGACGACATACAAAGGAGTGAAATATTCTACATTAAAGAATTCTTGGCATTTTTTAAAAAATAAAAAACATACATATGGGCAGCATATTCCCTTGGGACTTAGTAATTCTTTCACTTTATAGTTTCCTACATTGTGGCACAAAGGCAGACTCCCCAGGTCACATACTAAAATCACACATATACCAGGTAAATATCACTTCTGGTAGACCCTGTATCTAGAGCCTATACAACAATCACATTACAAAATCAATAGCACACAATCTTATCTAGTTTAACTTTCCAATATGCTCATTGCTTTCCATGGTTTTTGTTGGTGCTGTTGTTGTTGTTAAAAGGTTTGCATTTTGTTTTTCGTTAGTATTCATGGGAAAAGCCAAACTCTAGCTTCAGAATAGTAGAACATAATATTACTTCACTTAATTTCAAATCTACTATTCAGATCTCAACACAGGTCATCACCACCTCAGCAGCTGACTATTTCATCTCAAGATCTGCCAATCCGTTTCCTAATCCTAAAAATAATTGCTGAAAATCTGAATAATCTTATTTTTGTCCACCTCCAGTTTTTATAGAGTTATTTCTAATTCCCTAAAGTTTGGTGCTAATGTTCCTTATTATATTATTAGCATGTAGAGTAGTGTTTGATCCTAAAAAGCATTAATAAATTTACCTAATTTAATAATTGGCTCAGGAAATTTTCAATATTTCAATGTTGAATGAACTATTATCATTCTCCATTTTATCTTAGAGTAACAGGTTATTAACTTTTTCTTCCCGTGTGTAGCAATCATATCTCTTCAGTTGTTCCAAACACATCCTTTCCTCCTCTACTCCATTATCTACTTTATAGTGGTGGAAAAAGACACCAAATCCTAAATTCATAACAGCAAAAACATAGTTTCCAAGAAGCATAATGTTTTGTGTTGCTGAAAATATGTAAGTTTTGTATGTCTAGATCCTTTAGAACTCTCTTGAAGGTACCACTACTGTGCTTGGAGGGCAAATGTTTGATCTGTTAATAGCAAGCGTGTACCATGTGAACAATAGAAGAATGCAATGTTCATTCTTCATATAGAGCTTAGAGTTTACAGGGAAAAGAGGAACGTATGCAAAAGGCAAAAAAACTAAAACATAAACATCACAAACTGAAATAGGGACTTGGAAGAAAGTTCTAGGAACAGGAAGGCTGCGTATCGAAGCATTTGCTGATTTTCTACTTTGAGAGAGCTGTCCAATGAGTGATGCTGCAGGAAGGCTTAGGGGGGCTCACAAGAAGAAACTGAGGAATGTCAGAGCTGTTCTCCAGTGGAGGACAGGACATGTGGGAAAAAAAATGAAAGAAATACAACAGACCCTTGGGATCAAAGGAAAAATGCCATCAAATGAAACAGCAGGAACCGCATCGTCTATAACCTTGAAAGCTATGTTAAGCTTTATTTAGATAACAAAACATGCGTTTAATTGTATAAATTAAGTGTGCCTAGGAACTCACAGCTGTTGTGGGAACATAGTGAAGACATGGGCAAGCCCAAGCCAGACTAAATTCCAACATAGAAGAGTGTTGGGCGTGAAACCTTACCCACAGCTGAGGAGACATTGGTAATTCTTAGCTGCTGGGAGAGAAGTGTCAGTTTTCTCTGAATGTAGCCCTTGACAAGCTGTCCACTCTCCAGTGTAACATCCAAGAATGCATCCAAGAATGTTTAGCTGCACAAATTGGTCTTGATGGAGGAAAAACATTACACAGTCTGGTGTACAGGAAGTGAGGGCCTGGATCCAGAAAGGGTTGTGGGATGGGTAGTATGACCAAAACATGAAAGCATGGGAGTTTTGATTTCTCTGTCTTGCACAGTGCTCCTGTCAAAAACAAAATCTCTTCTTTATTTAGGCTTAGCCATGTTTAAGGTTGCCCAGAAGAGAAGAAAATAGATGGTAGAGATCCTAATGATTGAATTAGTTGAAGTTGGAGCAGTGATTTTGCAGGTGGTGTGATGAAGAATGGCAGGACCTGGATATAATGAAGATTTAATTACATACTTAATACAATTAAACCATGAAACCAGGAGGGAACATAAATATTAAAATATGTCATCTATGCTTCTGGGGAGTTAGAAACACTTTCATATTTAGAGACTTAGCTTCTATTATCAGTGTCAATATCTATAACCTCTTATAATATTTCAGATGGATTTCACTAATGGAATTAGGAACAAAATCAGGTGGTGGAGCATGTGAGCACTCCCTCACTGGCACATTACATTGGGAGTGCTGGCACTCTCTGCAGTACTTTGCACGTCCTTTCCTGGCCTGAATTACATGCCTGCCTTCTGAAAGGCAAAGCCAATTTATATGATTAATGTCACACACTTCCTGAAAGTTTAAGGATATGACCAGATAATAGAACAGCAAAAGCACATGATTTGCTCTTTACCATACTCATTAAAGAAATGATGAGAAAATACAGTTGGGAGTCCCTGTGTTTGGCACAGAGTACAAATGTATACAATAATCACTTCATTAGGTCAGCAAGGCTTTTGTTTTCCTGCTGGTAACATGGAGTTGGCTCAATTAACTCTCTCCCTGTCAGTTATGCTATTTTTGGAATGTGAGCAATTGGACATGTTTATGTCATTCTGTCATTTATCTTAGTGTTGGTCTTAGCATTCTTGTTTTCATTTTGTTCATGTTCTTGATGATCTTGTATAATCTTGAACCATAAGTATATGTATACATATGCATAAATTAGATATCAAAGTTATGTTTTATATTTACAAATCTGTTTGCTCCCTTCAGCATTTTTCATTGCACTCATTTCATTATGACACTTGAATTTGGACAACTATTCTTTGAGAAAGAAATCTCAGAAACCCTGATATGTCCCATGGGGACTAAGATGCTGGCATTTCTTTTAGAGAAAGGCACTTGCTAATCAGGCAATCAGTATCAGAAAAGTTCACACAGATTGGGAACCAAGGAAAAGGTATCCATCTCACAGACAAACACTACTGATACAGCGTCACTGTCCTTGGATCTTTGTCTGAATCATGAGGTAATGATCAAACTGAATCAGAAGACATGTTCCAAACAAAAACTCAAGCGAATAAAATTTCCAATAATTTGGCACAGAATTTAAACAAGGTGATATAATACTTGTCCTGGAGCAGATAATGTAGAATAAGACCAACATAATCTAAAAGAGCCCTTGATAAGACTCTCTTCCCAGGTGATTCCATGTTATGTCATCTGGTCAGCTGAAACTTGCAAAAAAAATGATTGAAAAATTTTGTACTTTGTCTTTGAAATTTATTATGATTGGAGGTGCTGAGCACTTTTGAACTTAGACATTTTTCCAATAAGTATTAAACAATTTTGATGCAAGCATTATATTTTAAAACAGCTTAAAATAATAAGCATGTGGCCTAAGTATTGAGAGACATTAAATCAGTTAGATAAACTCTTATTTAATAATATACTGGCTGATGATATTAAGATATAAAGTATGAATTATCTGATGACAAAACAAATGCTCTAAAATTATGAATGTAAACTTTCAATTATGCAAAAATTTTGCAGTAATATTGTAAAGAAACAGTAAAAAACATAGCTGCTACTTCTCGATACGTTATTTTCCAAAAGTTCTCTAAAATATTTCTAAATTCTAGACTTCCACAGCCTAATACAATAAATCAAAATTTGGATTCTGGACTTTCATTGAGGGATTTTCTAGATTATTTTGGTCTGTGGGCATTATTTGGTCTGTGAGGGGGTTATCTCGATAATGCTAATTGAGATCAGTTAGCATACCTACTCTGGGTGTCATCATTCCCTAGAAAAGGGATACTGAACTATGTGAGAGGGAAGAAAGTGAGTAGAGCACTAGCATAAATTCATTGCTGTCCACTGTTGATTGTGATTATAATGTAATCAGTTCTCTCAATCTCCTGTCACTGGAGCATCCCTTGCATGGTAGAGGTCAACCGGGAATTGTGAATTAAAACAAACCTTCTCTCCTTTGAGTTGCTTTTGTCATGGTATTTCATCATAGCAATAGGAAACAAAACTAAGACAATGCTATACATACTATTATTATTTTCAAAGTCATGATCCAATTGTATGTGTAAGAAGTGACATCCTACATAAAATGGAAGTTTTATGAAGAATTCCTACCCAGTAATTGCAAGTGGCATATTTGCTGATTCAATTAATTTTCTAAGAATACAGCTAAAGTACAGGCCTGGTTACAGAGTTAATCCAAACACATGACTATCATGCCAACTAAAAAAACAGTCAGGCACCACCCAACCTCATGGTGAAACATTGGCCAGAACTCACAGTGACTAGAGAACTTGCAACTGTGTATACATGGTAGGACAGCTCTTTCCTGGCTTTGAGGGAGAAAGATTCTAATTCTATGGAAGCATATATACTAAAAAAAAAAAAAAAAAAAAAGAATGGTACTGAGAATATTTTCATGGTTCCTGCTCAAGGACAGCACCATAGCAAAGTTCAATGCCTAAGTGGCATGGAAAAATAAAACCTTCTTCTGGCAATTTAGTTGGTACTGAGTGACAGTTCTCTGTAGGTCTATCAGGTGTCTGTATCTGTCACTAAAGAGACACTGATTGCCTTGTGTTTGGGGCTGTATTTTCAAGAACATTACTTCATGAATTCAATATAACTCATGTTCTTATAAGAAAAGGGAACATAAGATACAGAGATAGAAAAGCACAGGGTTGTATCTACGCCATGATAGGAACAGGATTGAAGTGATGGGCTTTCAAGAGTAGAACTACCAAGGTGTGCTAGCAACTGCATAAAAGACAAGGATAAAGTAGTGTAACATTGTATACACCTTGATTTGAGACATAGAGCATCCAGAACTGAGGGATGGTAAATTGCTCGTTAAGTCTTCAGTTTGGGTGTATATTATCACAGCAGGGCCAGACAATAAGCATAATTGGACTCCCCACCTGTCACTTATCAAAGACATCCACATGAAAAAGGTCAAATTATTGGTCCTCAAGTCCAGTCAATTCA